AATAATAATAATAATAATAATAATAATAATAATAATAATAATAATAATAATAATAAATTTTAATAACGATGAACATTTAGCACCGTTCCATATTTCATTGCAATTAAAGAAAAGACGAGAAATGAGAAATGATTGATTGAAAATGATAAAAGAAGTTGTTCAAGAATTGCGATCTGTAAATCAAAAATTAAAATGCATACAGTAAAAACTATTATTTATGTTTCTTGAGTGGCAATTTTATTTATCAATTGCAGTGATTTATCATCAAATTCGTCCACTTCATCAACAAATTTTTATGATTCAAACACACAAACACACATCAACACAAGGTTCGATGACTGTTCCAAATACCTCTATATTAAACGTAACAAACTCAGCTGTCCACATCTTTCTGTATGATTTTTTTGACAATTACACGTGCAAACCCTTGGCCAGGATGCGGAAAGCACTGTGAATCCCATGTCTGCTCAATAAAGGCTGCAAATTTTTTGTTAGAAAACTTGCAAACGAAGCGTTCAGAACAGCCGGTGTATGCTTGATGAAATGTGACAACTAGAACTTGTTGCCTCAGGTTATGAAAGTAACTGAAAGGTGTTCATTTGTGGTTGTGCTTACTCTTTTATATATGCCGTATCTTCGGTGCTATCATATAAAGATAATTCATTTCAAACCTATTTCATATGCAGTTCCTGCGCATGTTCTATTAGCATGTGCTGAGTGTCACCAAATCGTTTCCACTCAGCAAACAGAAGTTGTCGATTTCTGCGATAACAGTTCAATAAGTTCCACCGTTATTCACACTCAGTATTGCGAAGCTTGACACATAGTCTGCTTGAGCGGTTGATAAATTCATTTATGTTGCAATTTAGCAAAGCGCTAAGTCGATTGCCAAAGAGCTCATTAAAAATAGCACAAGCCGGTCAAACAAGCTAATAGATAGCTAGCTTCTCATCTGGCCCATCGAATATTTAAAGCATATTTGTGTGTGCAATCGTCGTATTATTGTCATATCAAAAATTGTTCATTATTTTTTAATCGTCTTCATTCTTGCATTCGTTCCATTTCAACTGGATTGAATTAACGAATCGTTCTCGACTACACTTCTTTCCACTCCCCTTCAGTCGCACTTTGTGTTATTGGTTGTGCTTTTGCCGAACAGCGATTGCATCGTCAAAATAATCTAACGTTGCAGTCAACACACTCATCAATCAACATTTCCATACAAAAATTTCACCGAATTCATCAAAAAAACACATACACACATAAACACACTTTCTCGTTTCGTAACTTGTCTAGAACGTTCAAGTTTTCGTTCACTCGGAACACTGATGAAATACCAGTTGATCGTCAACTACCATCACCATCCGCCTCTTCATCATTAACAAGCAGATAATTGCAATACGACTGATTCTCCAATGCAACTTTCTTCATCTTCTATGAAAATTTCCAATTTTTAACATTCCAGTAAACATTTCTAGAATTCTGAATTCAGATTTTCACTCGATCAAAACATCTAAGCGTATCATATTCATCTACTCATTTAGTGAAGAAAGTGGTTACTTGGAGTGAATTGATCATTAGACAGGAACGATCGAAAAAAAAGTGATCATGATGAAGATGATAATATGGAATTCACGACGTGAAATTTCCAACTATTAATATTATTTCTTAATGTTACGTGATGCATGGCAAGGAGGGTATATCAAATTTTAACTTGAGCACTATACAGGCATAGACATGAAAATGAAGATGCATGACAAGAAATTACTAACTGTTGAATAGCAGTAATATTAGAAGTATAGCATTACTGAACTGAATCAAACAACAACAATTAAAAAAGTTGATAAATTAGAAATTTTGACAGATTGAAGCGATTCAAGAAGAAGGGGTTAATGATTTGTGTCGATGTGCTGATGTGATGTCGCAATTTGCTTGCGCTCTTTTAATCGCCAATATGTTTTTGATAATCAACACCCAATTATCATTTTATCACCGAAATAATTTCTTCATCATTCCATTTATTCATTCTTGCACAAATATAGTCTTCCAACTGTTTATTCGTTTATTTATTACCGTTATTACAGTTAAGACGTTAATGATAGTAACATCATTATGGAGTGGGATATCAATATTGTTAACGATAATGATAAGGATAACTTTATTGACGATAATAGGATAATGATAACAATAACAATAATTATAATGCGATTTTGCTTTGTTATTTTCGTGATAATGAGTTACTAATTGATGGGATTTTAAAATAATTTTAGGTTGAAAATTAACCCATCGACCTCAAGTAAATCGTTTGAAAATGGTATCAACAAGCATCGTTACAACACAATTCGTAGAACGACGAGAACGATCTCGTTTCGGAATTTCGCCTGGATATTCCAGCTATGCTACTCATCACTCGAATCGCTCTAATTCTTTACCCACTGCAAATAGGTACCTTCTATTGTAATATCTACAATGTAAGTACAAAAAAATGAAGACATCGTTGGAAAGGGCAGCCAACCTATGAACCTCTCCATTGAACATTGATGCATTTCAACCGTTTGTGAGCGTAAGCGTAAGCGCACATCTAAGCACAATTCTAAGCGTAGGTACAAGCTTACCACCTCAACTTGAGTCTGATATGAGCAGACGACGTGAATCTTGTATACCACTACACCCGTACAAACTGCTGTACCGAAATAACGAATAGATAGATGAATAAGCAGCATGAAATAAAGGAACGTCTTGCAGAACGTCATTCTCGTCCGTTACTCCATCATTTTTAACAATCGATGAGTATAGCTCGACCAGGCCGGCGGCACCAGTTCAAATTTCAACGCAGTCAATTGTTTTGGAGGGCGGTGGTACTAATGAGGTGAGTCCCAATTTTTACACGTCCGAAGAGAACAGATTTAATTTTAATTGATTCAAAAACTATGAAATGTCCATGTTTCACACAACACGTACTCCTTTTTCAAACTTAAAACTGCTTTCAGTCGACCGCTCATAAATCCGATTTTCCAATACATCATTTACGACAGGCGAGTTTGTCGAATTCACAAAAATATCGTGACAGCACAACCAATCGCCATGTCACAATCGCCGAGCATTCAAGCGCTGAAGAAAATGATGCTGATAATACCACAAACAGCCATCAAAACACGACGAACAATAGCAGCAATGATCAAAGCTCGCTAAGCAATATATATTCCAAAACTTCGAATGTAAATATCAGCAAGAATGACAGTATCACTGATAATCATAATATAACAACAAGCAGTTATGGACGAGCCGGTCTCACCACTTCATTACCGAGCTTAATTTCTACGCAAAATATCGCCAGTAACTATTATCCGAACTACTCCAAAACCGAAAACACCACATTTAACAGCACTTCTTCATACCATCCGTCTGTCTCGAATCAATATCATTCATCGACAATGGAGGATCGTTTTGAAAGTATTCCATTGTTAATCAATTCCTCATATTTGTAATCACAAAACAAATTGATTTGTCCCTACTTGTCGTTCTTTTTGTCCGTTCGTTCAGACTTTTCAACGAGCACATAAGTTGAAAGCACCATCAAATTGATTCAATACCATCTGTGGCTGACTATATCTTTTATATATTGGCTGAGCATTTCACCTTTAACCCTTGACATAATAACGATCAAGTGTGATATAAACCCGATAATTGGTGATCTTTTCGGAATGAAAATGTTTTTTCAACGAAATGCAACAATATCACTTTCGCCATACTTTGTTCAATTTTCCAACAACACTAAAAATAATTTCTCAGTTTGTTCCTCTAAATGACCAATTATGCAATTAGTTAGCAAACATCCTTGTTCATAACAGACTGAATCGAAAATACAACGAAACGTCAAAGGTTAAAGGTGGATCGCCTAAGCCAAATCATATGTTCTATCTATAATCTAAGTTCACGAAATCAAATTTAATTGAAGCACTCAGAGCATCAAAACCAACCAGCGATCGGATTTACGACAGTGAGCACGACAGCAAAAGGAATACTGCGCTCAGCAAAAGCACCAATCTTATCGCATTTGTGGGCGCTCAAGCATTCAACGTTGGCGAACAATTCGAAACGCTACAAGCGGATGAGAGTCTATCGAATTTGGTTAGAAACAAAATATTCTTTTTGCTGCAAATTTGAAAAATTAATCTTTAAAGACAATGAAAATTATACCAATAATAATAGCATCAATAAGACATTTTGAAACAATTATACATCAACATTTTCATAGGATCGAGATGAAGTTATTGCAATCGTGGTCGGTAATGCAGATCTTACAACGGATCAGCTATATTGCTTCAATAACCTTCAAATGATCTTACCACTGAATTCATCATACTCCTCACAATGTATCAAATTCAGCTTATTCAGATACTATCTTCAGAATCATATTCATTAATAATAATAATAATAATAATAATATTAATATTAATATTAATAATATTAATAATAATAATATTAATAATAATAATAATAATAATGATAATAATAAACAATAACAAAAATAATTCTAATGATAACAATAAACAATAATTTGCAGTATTTACGGACAGTCGCATTTGTGTAGAGCATATAATGGCAAAAGAGTGGATCACTGATAAGGCGGACACTACGATGGCATTGATTCTGAATTTGTTCAGAAGGCCGCTCAAATCGACCGGTAATGATGAGCAGCGTTGGCTGGCCGGACGTAAGGCAATAGCTCACAGTGTTTTGGGTATTGTCGGGCTTGGAAGGTACGTTCGCATTATCACTAAGCACACTGATCAGCGGTAAATTGCACTTACCTGCTATTCAATACAGAAATAATCCTGTCTACCAGCATCGTCATAATCTCGTCTTCTTGTCTATCGCAACGTCTCACAGTCAAATCAATCTCTTTCTGATGAGACTTAGATATCCTCTAAAGATCATTGCGTTATTTTGAATATCTGACTGATGTTGCACCGAGCATTTCAGGGTTGGGCTAGCAGTTCTAGATCGCGCACGTCGTTTCCAGTTTGACGTCGTCTTCTACGATCCAGGTGTACAAGCTAGAACTGAAGATGCACTCGGCGTAAAACGCGCCTCGTCATTACGTGTACGTTTTATACGTATTTCGTGAGATAAATGTTCATTTGAAATTTATGGAAATTTTTAAAGTTTTACTTCAAAAAATGCGCAATCAATTTCATTATTCGTACGTAGCGTTTGTGCGGGTCCCTGGGTTTCTGAATCCCGACTTCTTAGTCCCGATCCCGGGATTCATGTTTTTACAGTCCCAGGAATCCCGGAATTTTGATGAACCAGGTTGTTTTGTACGAATTGGATAGTACACCCATCACGAATGAATCATGAATCATTCCCACATGTGTTCGTTCTTATTTCTTAATGAAAAGATGATTCATGGCATAACACCACCTCGGCTTTTGTTTTCACGCAATACTGACCAAGAATTTCATAACGTCACTGTTTCTTCATCTTTTTGTTGTCAATGTAGTTTTACATTTCACTGATGTCAATTCCGTATTTATTCTTGAAATATGACTTCAAATTGTGTAACTTCGTCCGCATATATAAAAAAACCCTATTCGTGTATATTTCTATTAAATAATCTGATATGACTTCAGTCTCTACTCGAAATGAGTGATTGCATTACGTTGCATTGTCCTTTGAACAATACAACAAAAAATATGATCAATTCGGACGCAATCTATGAAATGAAAAAAGGTTATTATTATTATTATTATTATTATTATTATTATTATTATTATTACTATTATTGTTATTATTATTATTATTATAATTATTATATATAAATATATCATTACCTTCGTTATTATCATTATCACTGGCATTTGTACTATCACTATTATTATTGGCAGTTATCATTAGTATGGTTATTTAGCATTCATTATTATTGTTATTATTATTGTTTGCACATCATCAGTAGCATATTTGAGGATGTTTCTTGGTGAATACATCAAACCCTCAGTTGGTTGACTCAAGATCACTCTCAACGGCGCTTTCAACAGGACGCATTGGTGCTGCGGCATTTGATTACTTCGATTCGTCTTTGGATGGTAAATGCGCAACTTTTGGTGGAATTCAGCTCTCTTCACCTTTAATCAATTAATTGACAATTTAAATTATACACTTATTTCATAAAAAATTTCGGCAACCTCTCCAAATGTCTTTTTTAAATTAATCAAGTTTTTTTTTTCAGAAAAATTCTCAAAATTCTCCAAATATTTTTTGAACACGAAAAATGGAGGAAAATGTTTTTCAATTTTCGAGAAAGATTATCAGGAATTCGGAAAATTGTTAAAAAATTCCAAGGGAATTCTCACTCAAACAAATTTCTAGGTAAATGGAATTGTTTACTGGGTCCAAGAGATACAATCATTGAACAAGATCAAAAAGAGCGCCTTCTGCAAGAGTTGGCTAAACTACGACGTCGATTCTAAGATAAAATAACGAATCAAATGAATAAATTCACATTCTTATTTCATTATTATTAACAATTTTTTTTTGCTATCATTATTACTAGTATCACTATCAGTATTTGTTTGAAATATTTTGATTTGTTCGTCAGTTGACTATTGACGCAAGTAACGAAATGCAGATACCTTTTTCATAATGTATCAATGGATGTGTTCCACTAATAAATAAACAAATAAGCAGTCTCCAAACGCATATTGTCACCACTCAAGCAATCGTTTGACTTATGCAGATGTAACAATAAGCACGGATGTATTCCGCTTAAACTGCGGTTTCTTTTCCGCTCAAACAAACCTTCAATGTCACGCTAACGCCAATAAAAGTTAAAACACTCTTGCATGTGCAATTGTACGTTTACGGATTGCCGTCTATCGATATTAGCGCACAGTCACAGATAATTATGATATTATTACTGCTGTTATATATTCTCGATCGTTTGGTATCTAGACAATATAGGTAATGTAACGAGTTTACACTTGCCATAAGAACAGTCAAAAATGCACTCTTTGTCATAAGTCAGCAGGGCTTTGGATTAATCGTAGACTTACACCGCGTTGCAATACCTAATGTCTGGATTATGCGAAATAAGCGAGTGTGGCCACTGAAAGAAACGAATTTCACGACGGAGAAGTATCCGAAGCAACCAAATTTATAAGATTGAAATTCAAGCAGCAATCCGGCGTCGAATCCACTCTTCACTTAGGCTGAGCATCACGTTAAAATTATGTTTCACGGTCTGTTGCGGGAATGGTTTGAAGAGGGGTGATGTTTTTCAACACCTTTTGCTCTTCAGTGAATACAAATATATTGCATATATAATAGCATTTAAGCGGCATCTTCACCTATTTGACAGTTGACATCGAAGGTCATTCATTCATCGTGTTCCAATTTTGAAGGTCATCAAAAATGTCTTTTATTTGTTAGTATTATTGAGAAAATCAATGACCTTTGCTTTCCATATTCCGTTTCTTTATTTCCATCACTAACGATCACCTATCTACCAAACTGCCCATCATTTCCCTGTCTATCTCATCATTTCTTATGTTAACGAGCGATTACGTACGTATATGGTCAAATTCTAACAGAATCACGATAACCATGATCGCATTATCAAAAAACTGTTCGTTCACTTGCTGAAAGGAGCATTTTGAAGCAATTAACAATGGTACGTTGTTCATTACAAACATTTGGTCAGTTCATCAGTTTTTTATTTATTTTTATTTTCACTCATACGTTCATACCGCACTCACCTACTTACTGTTAAAGTATTTACTCTTGTATTCATTATAAACATATTTCGCACATTTACTTAAGTATTCATTATTGAAATATTAACGATAATAATAATAAAATAATAGTAATAATAATAATAATAATAAGACAATAATAATAAAGGAATTTACTACATTGTAGTGATCAAGCGTTTGCTCTTATTCACATTAATATCCTCGATAACGTTGACTATACTACTTATTCGATCTACCCTCGATGCAAACGACCCTCTGCGAACTGAGCACAAGTCTGCAACGCATCGAAATGGTGGTCTCATTCAACAAGTTCGGGTATTTCCACAAGGGGGTTCGTTTCTTACCATAAGTAGTTGGCTACTTGTAATTAAACTCGAACAAGCATTGGCGAACCATTTTCAATTTAGGGTTTGAAACTTTATTTGCAGTTATTTGAAACATCTGTTTGCATATTCGCTTTAACTCCACTCTATCCTAAAACATCTTGATTACTGAACGAATAAATGAATGGAAATTTTTTTCGTTAAGAATTTAGAAATTTTCCGTAAAAATTGAGTTTTTTGAGTGCTTTCGACCAGGTGGACAGAGATGATTGGATAGCTGCATGAATGAACGAATAACTTTTTCAGGCGGAGATGTGAAATTTGATCAGCCATGGACACTTCCACCGATAGAAATTATTGATAAATCGGAACAGTTAGAGGAACAGTCACATCAACAACAGCGATATATTATCAGTAATTTCTCGTACAGTCCAGGTAAGTGATATGCTATCATAATAATCAGTTAATACACAGTTAACAAAACACTGATGATATTGTTTGAAAGATCATCGTTCTAGTGGCCTCAAGCTATTGTGAAATGGTCCATCTGTTCCGTCATAAATTTACTTCTCATTTGAACAAAAACGCAATTTCAGGACTCGGTAATCTGATGTTTCAGTATGCTTCTTTACGAGCAATCGCCGCGAAGCACAATGCTAAACTAATTGTGCCAAGTGAATGCACTCTGCGTAGAGCATTTTCACTCAACGACCACTCAAACAATACAGTATTTGTTAGGCAGTCTTTACATGATCAACTCATAGACAATTTCAGTAGCAATAAACACCATTTCCAGGTCAGACTTCGCCTCACACCTTGATTGTTGCTTCTTCTAATGAAGAGATTTGGCGTCTGAAGGTCTCCAGCTGGCAGTATTGTTTAAGACGTTTTACCCGAAATCAGTGACAGCTTCCAGTAGTTAGAGATTGGAGGATTCTCGATATTTTTTTTTTGAAAAAGTAGCCCCGGAAGCATGTACAGTTGAAGGTTTTTTTGAAAAAAATGTTACTATTTCAGTGATGTATCGAAAGGTTTCAGGAATGTTGCAAATATATTGGTGACACAATTATTGATAATCTTTTTATGCATTCATCAAATAACGAACGACATTCTGAGCAGAATAACAGCTTTGAGCTTCTCATTGGTTACTTCCAAGCATTCCCATATTTCCATCCTCATCAGGTATGTGCCATGGATATTAGGAAATGACAACACAAAATAAGGTGAAAAAGATAACAAAAAGACATTATGCGTATTTATAAATAACATATTAAAGTTGAAGGGTCTATTTTGAATAAGTGAAAATAATTTTTATTGAAATATTAGCGTTTTCATTACCCATAGTACGCAGAGATGGTAACTGTGCAGCAGAACACACCGATACATTTTAGCCCTATTCGCTCGAGTATGGCTTGCCTCTAGGCCTAGGTTTACTCGCAATTTGGCTTATGCTTAGTCTTACAGGCAATTAAAATGCACCGGTGTGTACTGTTGCACTGGAAGGAAGTTCACCGGCAAATGTGGCTACCTTTCGAACTGAAACTATTCCGGACTAAGATTGATCTCAAAACGCTTGAAGCACGCAAAAAAAGACAGCATACCTCACTACTTCGCAGTTTTTTGCAGGAATTTTTGATACGTAAGCAATTTCAATTCTTACCAGATATAGACAGCCGGGCCAGAAAATTGCTAGAACGAGCGAAAGAAGAGAAAATACGAGATGAACTGACTGAGCAGCGATCGTCAAAAATGATCGAAAACGTGAAATTAAATTCACAACAAATTGACGCATTATCCCATCAAGCGACGGCAGCCGTTACTCAGTCAATTGGTGAGTGACTCAAATTTGTCGAATTCCCGACGTTTCAAATGAATTAATTCCCAAGCACATCTTCTGCAAAACAGAAAGGGCAATAGCAACAACGGTAACAACATTACACATTGAACGTACAATCGATAAATTCTAAAAATCAATACAAGAAACAATCAAACAGTGATTAAAAGTCTTTGCTGAACAAGGTGCGCAATTTTCTGCAGCAAGAATGCTTACTCACCGTTGATGCTATAACTAACAGTTTCATCTAAAACATAGAGCTAATCAATGATAATTATACCGATAATAGTACTGATGACAATAATGCATCTTTCAGTCATAGATTCGTTGACCGACTTTTATTTTCAGACGATTTATTCCTATCGCCATCCGTATCGTCGCCTGTATCACTTTTATCAGCATCCTCATTATCGAACACACCACCGTTGATTTTTGTCGGTGTTCATGTACGTCATGGAATGGACGTAACGATGAATAATCGTAACATCAAACATGGTCATACTGTCGCCAACAAGCAGTATTTCCAGAATGCCATGCAATATTTTAGGTATGTATTGAAATAGATCTGCATTTTCGATCCGATTCGCAAGTCTGTTTAATAAAGTGATACTGATAATGATAATGGTAGCGTTGAGAATCATAGCAGCGCTTTTAATGATACTGATAGTTGATGAAACGACAAGTGTAATACTTCATGCATAGATATATTCAAATGAAGTCTTCTTGGACCACACACATATATTCATGCACCACCAATAACGCCTGAGGCTGCATTTTACTTCACTAATATTATTTGCAATGATAGCAGCTAACGTTATTGATCAATAAAATACAAGTCATTTTCAGGGAAAAATATCGGAATGTTCTATTTATTGTGGCTAGCGATAACTTACCGTGGGCTAAAGCTAACATTTTCGGCACAAGCAGAGGTCGGTTGGTTGCACCGTACAATATGAATATGCACATTTTATCGCGTAACAAATACTTCCAGGTGAGGTGTTCTTCCTGGAGACAAACCTACGGGAAGTTGATTTCGCGACGTTGGTCTACTGTAATCATACAATTATGAGTACGGGGACATTTTCGTGGTGGATTGCGTATCTGAATCAAGGAGAATCAATTTATTACGATGGCTGGCCAAGGCCTGGTTCGGTACTTGATAAATCTGTCGAAAAGAACGATTTCTTTTTGAAAAATTGGAAGCCCATGTCATAAAAGAAAAATGACACATCAAAACAGGGACGGACGATCATATCAATGATTTTTAATAGTAATATTAAGTATGGTATGATAATAATATTGATATTAATATCAGTTAATAAATAATAATTATTATGAGAGTAATGGCAGCCACAAAAGTTGCACTATCATGAAGTTGAAATAATGGTGGTTACTTCAGCAATGTATCGTAATCACTGCAAACCTTCAACCAACCCATTTCTAAATGCACAATTTATTAAGTAAATAAAATAGTTTATTCATTAAACGATGAATGATATTTATAACAATACGAAATGAAAGAGAAAAAGAAAGAAAGACAATAATGTGAATTAATTCATAATTGGGAAGAACTTAATGAAATGGGCAAATTAAACGAGCATTCAAACAAAATTCAACAAAACAGCTTTCGTAGGATAACGACTTTCATTCAACCGGCAGCTGCTATTAATTAACTAATTGCCTTCATCTTTTCTTTTCTGAACTGCCCTTGAGTTTGAAATCAATCACGTAGACCGTTGAAGAATGCTTCTCATCCAAATTAACTAGAAAGTGCGACTGATCACTTTCACAGAAGTTTGGTCACTATGCAGGCAAAAAGCGAATACTATTGGGTTCAGGAAAGATCTTAACATTGATTAAGTTCCTGTCAAATTCCAAGATAACGTAATTCTGAAGCCTTAAAATATGAGCCATCCCCAGCCCCTACACTGTCTCATCGAATGTAATTAGCAAAGATGTTATTAATTTTAATTAGTGAATCGAACGGACAACTGATAAAAATTCTTCAAAATATGATCAACCCACTACAGCGATCTGTGGTCATGTGACGGGAAGTACGTATTATAGTGTTTCAGGGTGTTCATGCCATTTTCACTCTAATTTAATGCTAGTATTGAGTGATTAACAGGAACCATATGCAAACAAAACTGATTACTTACGAACATGATTATCATTAAGCTGGTGCTAACGAAACTGTATTACTGAATATTCTCATAATTATATATTACTGAATATTCTCATATGAAGACAGCCTGCATTAATGGGATAAATGAAGGTGAATTAAACAGTGAGCATTTTGGCGAAAATTATTTGAACGAAACAACAACTGAAACAAAAATCAGCTATGAAAAAATGAATGAATGATGCAAATGTTTGGTTGAGTCTCTTAGGCAACCGCAAGTGACAATAGCAGCGATATTATCGGATCAGTAATGATAAAAATTGTGATTAAATGAATAAATAATGATACTAAAATGAACAATAGCAATAGCAATAACAATAATAATAATAATAATAATAA